ACCATGTGTGAACATTTGAGCTAATTTCGTGAAGTTGGATTTTCGGGCCAAAAATGAGTATTTTTGATGACCGCGGATATGGAAAACTTTTCAAGATTTGGGCTATTTGGGTAAAAAACTAAATTGTTTATTTTCTCCCTGGATCTTGACTTAGGTGAGCTGAAATCTCTCGGGGATTTATTTCTGGCCTCTACCCACCATGTGTGAACATTTGAGCTAATTTCGTGAAGTTGGTTTTTCGGGCCAAAAATGAGTATTTTTGATGACCGCGGATATGGAAAACTTTTCAAATTTGGGCTATTTGGGTAAAAAACTAAATTGTTTATTTCTCCCTGGATCTTGACTTAAGTGAGCTGAAATCTCCTAGGGATTTATTTCCTGGCCTCTACCCACCATGTGTGAACATTTGACGTAATTTCGTGAAGTTGGATTTTCGGGCCAAAAATGAGTATTTTTGATGACCGCGGATATGGAAAACTTTCAAATTTGGGCTATTTGGGTAAAAAACTAAATTGTTTATTTTCTCCCTGGATCTTGACTTAGGTGAGCTGAAATCTCTGGGGATTATTTCTGGCCTCTACCCACCTTGTGTGAACATTTGACTTAATTTCGTGAAGTTGGATTTTCGGGCCAAAAATGAGTATTTTTGATGACCGCGGATATGAAAAACTTTCAAGATTTGGGCTATTTGGGTAAAAAACTGAAATGTTTATTTTCTCCCTGGATCTTGACTAGGTGAGCTGAAATCTCTCGGGATTTATTCTGGCCTCTACCCACCATGTGTGAACATTTGAGCTAATTTCGTGAAGTTGGATTTTCGGGCCAAAAATGAGTATTTTTGATGACCGCGGATATGGAAAACTTTTCAAGATTTGGGCTATTTGGGTAAAAAACTAAATTGTTTATTTTCTCCCTGGATCTTGACTTAGGTGAGCTGAAATCTCTTGGGGATTTATTCTGGCCTCTACCCACCATGTGTGAACATTTGAGCTAATTTCGTGAAGTTGGATTTTCGGGCCAAAAATGAGTATTTTTGATGACTGCGGATATGGAAAACTTTTCAAAATTTGGGCTATTTGGGTAAAAAACTAAATTGTTTATTTTCTCCCTGGATCTTGACTTAGGTGAGCTGAAATCCCTCGGGGATTTATTTCTGCCTCTACCCACCATGTGTGAACATTTGACGTAATTTCGTGAAGTTGGATTTTCGGGCCAAAAATGAGTATTTTTGATGACCGCGGATATGGAAAACTTTTCAAGATTTGGGCTATTTGGGTAAAAAACTAAATGTTTATTTTCTCCCTGGATCTTGACTTAGTTGAGCTGAAATCTCTCGGGGATTTATTGCTGGCCTCTACCCACCTACTGGGAACATTTGACTTAATTTCGTGAAGTTGGATTTTCGGGCCAAAAATGAGTATTTTTGATGACCGCGGATATGGAAAACTTTCAAATTTGGGCTATTTGGGAAAAAACTAAATTGTTTATTTTCTCCCTGGATCTTGACTTAGGTGAGCTGAAATCTCTCGGGGATTTATTTCTGGCCTCTACCCACCTGTGTGAACATTTGACTTAATTTGTGAAGTTGGATTTTCGGGCCAAAAATGAGAATTTTTGATGACCGCGGATATGGAAAACTTTTCAAGATTTGGGCTATTTGGGTAAAAAACTAAATTGTTTATTTTCTCCCTGGATCTTGACTTAGGTGAGCTGAAATCTCTCGGGGATTTATTTCTGGCCTCTACCCACCATGTGTGAACATTTGACTTAATTTGTGAAGTGGATTTTCGGGCCAAAATGAGTATTTTTGATGACCGCGGATATGGAAAACTTTTCAAGATTTGGGCTATTTGGGTAAAAAACTAAATTGTTTATTTTCTCCCTGGATCTTGACTTAGTTGAGCTGAAATCTCTAGGGGGTTTATTTCTGGCCTCTACCCACCTGCTGGGAACATTTGACTAATTTCGTGAAGTTGGATTTTCGGGCCAAAAATGAGTATTTTTGATGACCGCGGATATGGAAAACTTTTCAAGATTTGGGCTATTTGGGTAAAAAACTAAATTGTTTATTTTCTCCCTGGATCTTGACTTAGGTGAGCTGAAATCTCTCGGGATTTATTTCTGGCCTCTACCCACCATGTGTGAACATTTGACTTAATTTTGTGAAGTTGGATTTTCGGGCCAAAAATGAGTATTTTTGATGACCGCGGATATGGAAAACTTTTCAAGATTTGGGCTATTTGGGTAAAAAACTAAAATTTTTATTTTCTCCCTGGATCTTGACTTAGGTGAGCTGAAATCTCTCGGGGATTTATTTCTGGCCTCTACCCACCATGTGTGAACATTTGAGCTAATTTCGTGAAGTTGGATTTTCGGGCCAAAAATGAGTATTTTTGATGACCGCGGATATGAAAACTTTTCAAGATTTGGGCTATTTGGGTAAAAAACTAAATGTTTATTTTCTCCTGGATCTTGACTTAGGTGAGCTGAAATCTCTTGGGGATTTATTTCTGGCCTCTACCCACCATGTGTGAACATTTGAGTTATTTCGTGAAGTTGGATTTTCGGGCCAAAAATGAGTATTTTTGATGACCGCGGATATGGAAAACTTTTCAAGATTTGGGCTATTTGGGTAAAAAACTAAATTGTTTATTTTCTCCCTGGATCTTGACTTAAGTGAGCTGAAATCTCTGGGATTTATTCTGGCCTCTACCCACCATGTGTGAACATTTGACGTAATTTCGTGTGAAGTTGGATTTTCGGGCCAAAAATGAGTATTTTTGATGACCGCGGATATGGAAAACTTTTCAAGATTTGGGCTATTTGGGTAAAAAACTGAAATGTTTATTTTCTCCCTGGATCTTGACTTAGGTGAGCTGAAATCTCTCGGGGATTTATTCTGGCCTCTACCCACCATGTGTGAACATTTGAGCTAATTTCGTGAAGTTGGATTTTCGGGCCAAAAATGAGTGTTTTTGATGACCGCGGATATGGAAAACTTTTCAAGATTTGGGCTATTTGGGTAAAAAACTAAATGTTTATTTTCTCCCTGGATCTTGACTTAGGTGAGCTGAAATCTCTGGGGATTTATTTCTGGCCTCTACCCACCATGTGTGAACATTTGAGCTAATTTCGTGAAGTTGGATTTTCGGGCCAAAAATGAGTATTTTTGATGACCGCGGATATGGAAAACTTTTCAAGATTTGGGCTATTTGGGTAAAAAACTAAATTGTTTATTTTCTCCCTGGATCTTGACTTAGGTGAGCTGAAATCTCTCGGGGATTTATTTCTGGCCTCTACCCACCATGTGTGAACATTTGAGTTAATTTCGTGAAGTTGGATTTTCGGGCCAAAAATGAGTATTTTTGATGACCGCGGATATGGAAAACTTTTCAAAATTTGGGCTATTTGGAAAAACTAAATTGTTTATTTCTCCCTGGATCTTGACTTAAGTGAGCTGAAATCTCTAGGGATTTATTCCTGGCCTCTACCCACCATGTGTGAACATTTGACGTAATTTCGTGAAGTTGGATTTTCGGGCCAAAAATGAGTATTTTTGATGACCGCGGATATGGAAAACTTTCAAAATTTGGGCTATTTGGGTAAAAAACTAAATTGTTTATTTTCTCCCTGGATCTTGACTTAGGTGAGCTGAAATCTCTCGGGGATTTATTTCTGGCCTCTACCCACCTTGTGTGAACATTTGACTTAATTTCGTGAAGTTGGATTTTCGGGCCAAAAATGAGTATTTTTGATGACCGCGGATATGAAAAACTTTCAAGATTTGGGCTATTTGGGAAAAACTGAAATGTTTATTTTCTCCTGGATCTTGACTAAGGTGAGCTGAAATCTCTCGGGATTCATTCTGGTCTCTACCCACCATGTGTGAACATTTGAGCTAATTTCGTGAAGTTGGATTTTCGGGCCAAAAATGAGTATTTTTGATGACCGCGGATATGGAAAACTTTTCAAGATTTGGGCTATTTGGGTAAAAAACTAAATTGTTTATTTTCTCCCTGGATCTTGACTTAGGTGAGCTGAAATCTCTTGGGGATTTATTCTGGCCTCTACCCACCATGTGTGAACATTTGAGCTTATTTCGTGAAGTTGGATTTTCGGGCCAAAAATGAGTATTTTTGATGACCGCGGATATGGAAAACTTTTCAAAATTGGGCTATTTGGGTAAAAAACTAAATGTTTATTTTCTCCCTGGATCTTGACTTAGGTGAGCTGAAATC